AATTTTTAAATATTTATTTTCTAATTCTTTCATTTTTAATTATTAACAACCAAATTTTATTCACTATTATAATATTAATTAAGTCAATATTACATGTATATATATCTTATTTATTCAATATTGTATTCAATATTAATTATTATACATATCTAATTTATTCAATATCATATATATCTAAATCTTTAATATTATATATATCTAATTTAATCAACATTATATATATCTAATTAATTCAATATATTATATTATATATATCTAATTTATTCAATATGATATATATCTAATGTATTCAATATCATACATATATCTAAAGATCTCATGACCATCAATTTTTTGCCATAAGCAATTATTTGCTTTGTTTCAACACTATAAAGACGGAGTGAAAATTTTTCCTCTAGATATTTGAGGAAACCAAAATATTCATATATATTATATATCAATGAAATTTTAAATGACAGCTAGCTATTCGATGCTAAAACTGACCAACATCAATGTGAGAGATTTGTTTTCAAAATAAATGCTTAAGTTGAGCAGTGTTACAAGTTACAAGTATGAGTCTATCGGATTTGGTGTATGACGTCATGTAAGGTGGAGAAGTCGGCTGCATTCGCCTATTATTATTGTCACTAACTTTCAGAGATTAGTAATGAATTTTTTTTTAATTTTTGTTGTTGGAATTAACCTCTTATCAACACAGTATGGGTCATATGTTGACTTTCCGGCTTTACTGGAGGAGGAAAGCCTCATGTGCCCCTCTCTACACAAATGGGCACATAAGTTTAAAGTAGAACCACAGACATTCGGTTAGCTAGCTGGGAAGCTTTCTGGCATGAAGAATCCAAAAACTCTGCCGCAGCTCAAACCTAGAGGCATGTGCTTAGAAGTCAATGACCTTAACCACTCAGCCACAAACCCCTCTCTATTAATGACCTATAGTTGAAATGATGGCAAAATAAAGTTGATAATAGATGAGATAAAGCAAGAAAAAGTAACAAATCACTTACCATCTCGCGTTTTAATCTATCAGCAACATCTACATGCTGAAATTTATAAACAATGTTAATTGAAATGACTGTCTGGATTCATTTGAGCCGTGCCATGACAAAACCATCATAATGGGTTTGCGACCAGCATGGATCCAGACCAGCCTGCGCATCCGCGCAGTCTGATCAGGATCCATGCTGTTCGCTTACCAACCCTATTACAAGTAGAGAAACTGATAGTGAACAGCATGGATCCTGATCACACTGCACGGATGTGCAGGCTGGTCTGGACCCATGCTGGTGGCAAACGCACTATGTTGGTTTTGTCATGGCACAGCTCATTTTACTGTAAAATTAATCAATATTGGAGTAATACCAACTTGCATGAATATGAATATAGCAAAATAAAAATTTCTTTTCTCTATCAAAGATGTGTCTCAGCCACTCACTCAGTTGATCATAATACCTTAGCCATCAACAGTTCACATATAATCAGAATTAAAGGCTATCATAAACTTGATCAACAGTAAAATTATGTTGTACACAGATCAACGAAAGAATTGTATCTAAGAATGTTTCTGTCATTTAACACACATGAATACTGTATGCAAATGTATAATAAAATGTTCCGGAAACAAATATCATTCTGCTTTTTTAAATAGAGATTTAACCACTTAACAATGTCTCTGTGCATATGCTATTCACTCTTTAGGAAAAACAGACAATGTATTTCTTGCATACATGTATTCTAGATGCATTCTTTTAAAAATTCATAAATAAATAAATGCAGCAGATATACAGCTGTAATCACTTTAACAAGTACTGACTAACCTTTTCATTGATGTATTATTTCATATTCATATTTCTTACATGTATCTTATAATTTCCTTATAAAACAATAAATAATAATAACTTGAATGTATAAATACATACAATACATACATAGTGTTAAAAATAAAGAAAAATGTTACATCCTGTGAGATCAGTCAAGATTTATAAAACAAAGTAACATAAAGTAAATTACTTCCCTGCAGAATATTTTTTTAACTAACTTCCACTGGCTTTCTTTTCTTTGAGCATTTCAGAATATCAAAAAGATATCAACTTACTTACATGATCATGTTATATATGGTATCATGTATAATCATTCAGATGCTTTTTACTTGTTTTGCTTATGCATTTGAACTCAAACCATGAAATATTATACAGCAATGGGATCAAATTTCATTTCTTATTTTTAGTTAAAGTGACATGTAAAGTAAGTCCAATTCAAGAGGGCCATGATGGCCCTGAAATTGCTCACCTGTACATAGGCCCCTGGGCCAAGGTTAATTTTAAACCAGGGGCTTTTATTTGAACAAACTTGGTAGACACCCAGGAGATGTTTCATGATAAATATCTTAGCTCTAGCTCTTTGGGGTTTTATAAGAAGATTCTTTAAGTTTTTACTATATACATATAGGGAAAAACAATGACCCCAGGGGCGGGGCCAATTTTAACCCAAGGGCCCTTATTTGAACAAACTTGGTAGACACCCATTAGAAGATGTTTCATGCAAAATATCTTAGCTCTAGCTCTTTGGAGTTTTTAAAAGAAGAATTTTTTTAAGTTTTTACTACATATATATAAAGGGAAAAACAATTGCCCCCTGGGGCGGGGCCAATTTTTCACCCCAGGGCTTTTATGTGAACAAATTTGGTAGACACCCACTAGAAGATGTTTCATGCATTATATCTAAGCTCTAGCTATTTTGGTTTTTTAAAAGAAGAATTTTTAAGTTTTTACTATTTATATATACATGTATATATATACAATGTATAGGGAAAATCAATGACCCCCTTGGGCGGGGCTAATTTTTACCCCAGGGCTTTTATTTGATTTTTTTAAGTTTTATTATATACAAATAAGGAAAATCAATGACCTCCCTAGCAGGCCCAATTTTGACCCCAGGGCATTTATTTGAACAAACTTGGTAGACACTGACTAGATGATGTTTCATGCCAAATATTTAACCCTTGCACTGCCATAGTCACGGCTTATGCCCGTCCTTGTTATTTTCGGCGTATTTGCCATATGGACAGCTATAGCCGTTTCTATAATTATAATGATAATAATAATAAATTAATAATAATAATAATAAAAACAAGAGGGCCATGATGGCCCTGAGGTCGCTCACCTGTATATAGGCCCCCGGAGCAAGGCCAGTTTAAACCCCAGGGCTTTTATTTGAACAAACTTGGAAGACATCCATTAGAACATGTTTCATGATGTTAAGTTTTTACTACACACATATAATGAAAAACAATGACCCCCCCCCAGCAGGGCCAATTTTAACCCAAGGGCTTTTATTTGAACAAACTTGGTAGACACCTATAAGAAGATGTTTCATGCTTAACATCTAAACTCTAGCTCATTGGGTTTTTTAAAAGAAGATTTTTTAAGTTTTTACTATACACATATAGTTAAAAACAATGATACCCATGGGGCGGGTCCAATTTTTACCCCAGGGCTTTTATTTGAACAAACTTTGTAGACACTTACTAGAAGATGTTTCGTGCTTAATATCTAAACTGTAGCTATTTGGGTTTTATCAAAGAAGAATTTTTAAGTTTTTACTATTTATATATACATGTATATATATACAATGTATAGGGAAAATCAATGACCCCCTTGGGCGGGGCTAATTTTTACCCCAGGGCTTTTATTTGATTTTTTTAAGTTTTATTATATACAAATAAGGAAAATCAATGACCTCCCTAGCAGGCCCAATTTTGACCCCAGGGCATTTATTTGAACAAACTTGGTAGACACTGACTAGATGATGTTTCATGCCAAATATTTAACCCTTGCACTGCCATAGTCACGGCTTATGCCCGTCCTTGTTATTTTCGGCGTATTTGCCATATGGACAGCTATAGCCGTTTCTATAATTATAATGATAATAATAATAAATTAATAATAATAATAATAAAAACAAGAGGGCCATGATGGCCCTGAGGTCGCTCACCTGTATATAGGCCCCCCGAGCAAGGCCAGTTTAAACCCCAGGGCTTTTATTTGAACAAACTTGGAAGACATCCATTAGAACATGTTTCATGATGTTAAGTTTTTACTACACACATATAATGAAAAACAATGACCCCCCCCCCCAGCAGGGCCAATTTTAACCCAAGGGCTTTTATTTGAACAAACTTGGTAGACACCTATAAGAAGATGTTTCATGCTTAACATCTAAACTCTAGCTCATTGGGTTTTTTAAAAGAAGATTTTTTAAGTTTTTACTATACACATATAGTTAAAAACAATGATACCCATGGGGCGGGGCCAGTTTTGACCCCAGGGCTTTTATTTGAACAAACTTTGTAGACACTCACTAGAAGATGTTTCATGCTTAATATCTAAACTCTAGCTATTTGGGTTATTTCAAAGAAGAATTTTTAAGTTTTTGCTATACACATATAAAGAAAATCAATGACCCCCAGGGCGGGGCCAATATTGACCCCAGGGCTTTTATTTGAACAAACTTGGTTGACACCCATTAGAACATGTTTCATGCTAAATATCTTAGCTCTAGCTCTTTGAGTTCTTTAAAAGAAGATTTTTTAAGTTTTTACTATATGCATATAGGGAAAATCAATGACCCCCTGGGGCGGGGCCAATTTTGACCCCAAGGCTTTTATTTGAACAAACTTGGTAGACACTCATGAGAAGATGTTTCATGCTAAATATCTTAGCTCTAGCTCTTTGGGTTCTTTAAAAGAAGATTTTTTAAGTTTTTACTATATGCATATAGGGAAAATCAATGACCCCCTGGGGCGGGGCCAATTTTGCCCCCAGGGCTTTTATTTGAACAAACTTGGTAGACACTCATGAGAAGATGTTTCATGCTAAATATCTTAGCTGAGAAAATGTTTCATGCTAAATATCTTAGCTCTAGCTCTTTGGGTTCTTTAAAAGAAGATTTTTAAGTTTTTACTATATGCATATAGGGAAAATCAATGACCCCCTGGATGGGGCCAATTTTGACCCCAGGGCTTTTATTTGAACAAACTTGGTAGACACTCATGAGAACATGTTTCATGCTAAATATCTTAGCTCTAACTCTTTGGGTTCTTTAAAGGAAGATTTTTTAAGTTTTTACTATATGCATATAGGGAAAATCAATGACCCCCTGGGGCGGGGCCAATTTTGACCCCAGGGCTTTTATTTGAACAAACTTGGTAGACACTCACTTGAAGATGTTTCATGCCAAATATCTAAGCTCTAGCTCTTTGGGTTTTTTAAAAGAAGATATTTAAAGTTTTTTCTTTCGGTTGCCATGGCAACCAGAGTTCTGCATGGAATTAAATTCTTTGAACAATTTTTAAAGGTGACCACCAAAGGAACATTCCTGTGAAGTTTGGATGAAATTGGCTTAGCGGTTTATGAGGAGATGTCATTTAAAGTAAAAGTTTACGGACGGACGCCGGACGGACGCAGGACGAAAAGCGATCACAAAAGCTCACCCTGTCACTTTGTGACAGGTGAGCTAATAATAAAAAATATAAAGAAAATTATACCATCGACAATAATTATCATTATACTAACAGATTTGGAAACATATATAATTATTATAATACTAATAATAAATAATTATAATTATATAATAGTAATTTCTTAGAAAACCCTCTGGCAAATAGGTGATAAATAAAACAATAACCCTCTGACAGCGAAAGGGTTAAGGTATTAGACACCTTATGAAATCTGCAATCTTCGACAAATACTGCCATATCTCGTCATTTATCATTAAGAACTTCGTTTGTTTACGAGTAAAGTCGGAATTCTAATAATAGCAGATATCCCCGGTCACGCGGTAGTATTCCCCAAGAAAATGACGTCATTTCCGTAGATCGTTTAGATTTAAATGCTTGATCATATATCTTTGTTTACTGTATAAATTTATTGTATGATGTCTTCTTAAGGCCAAATAAAAAAATATGTTTGGTTCAGGAAACATTAGCCCAAAAATTAGGAGGGTAGGGATTTTCATTTTTTTTTTTTTTTTTTTGAAACGTCTTATTTTCCATTTTCAGATGTGTTGCCTTTGCATAACATACTTAAACAGAGATTGTAATCAATCAATGCAAACACCTTTTTGTAACTTCCAGCATAGTGTGTTTCACTGCAGTCTCAATATAAATGGTATTGGTAAAGAATTATATTAAAATGGTCACTGTCAGCAAGTTAACAATGACACTAGCAAACAGTTTAGCATCTTTTTGCTTGAAGCAGCTGTCGTAAATGAATCACTTTTATCAAACAAATGCCCTAAAACATGTTACTTCACCTTCCAAAATGTTGCCCCTTGGATCTCACACTTGACATGGTATAACACTTACATTGTATATGATAAATTTTTGAGACTGGCCAAACATTAAGTTGACTAAAACAATACATGTACATAAAAGTTTATTAAGTATCTCATATCAAATATTTTGAACAATAAACAGCAACATTTTTATTTTTTTCATATTCAAAAATATTGAAGCTTATTTAACTTTTTGTACCCAAAAAATTTTGTAGCGAAAATCAAAAAAAAAATTTAGGGTCGGGGGTAAAAAAATAGGGTAGGTTGGGTTCCCTGAACCAGACATATTTTTTATTTTGGCCTAACTTAAAAATAGTAAATATTTAACATTTTGACTGAAAAATTTTTTTTACTTTTTGAACATTTGCTGGTGGTCGTCCATTCTGCCCCCTCAGACTTAATACAAGTTTTTAGTGAAATTTTCTTATTTCTTTGTAATTACATGGTCAAAACTTCCTAAAAGTACACAAATAATGTCCTGAATGCTTTGAAATAAGAAAGACTTCCATTTGAAAAATATGCTAAAATTTTTAATTAGGGGCCTAATACCTTAAGCTCTAGCTCTTACAGTTTTCTAAAAAAAAATTATTTTAAGTTTTTTCTTTCAGTTGACATGGCAACCAGAGTTCTGCTTGGAATTAAATTCTTTGAACAATTTTTAAAGTTTACTACCAAAGGAACAGTCCTGTGAAGTTTGGATAAAAATGACTTAGCAGTTTATGAGGAGATGTCGTTTAAAGTAAAAGTTTACTGAAGGGGGCCGACCAAAAAGCGATCACAAAAGCTGACCATGTCACTTTGTGACAGGTGAGCTAAAATTAACACAAGATTCAGACTTTGTTGTTTGGTTACAATTTCACATGGAAATAGCACCAAACAAGAAAATTGATAATAATTACTTACAAATAGCAAAATTATTAACTGTATTTAAAACCTTAAATTGTTGTTTATGACATGTATGAGATAAAAAGTTACACTTTAAACCCTAACTTGTGGTAAATGATTAAAACCTTAACTTGTGGTATATGATTAAAACCTTAACTTGTGGTATATGATTAAAACCTTTAGATGAGATAAAAAGTTACACTTAAAACCTAAACTTGTGGTAAATGAGATAAAACCTAAACTTGTGGTAAATGAGATAAAACCTAAACTTGTGGTAAATGAGATAAAACCTTAACTTGTGGTAAATGAGATAAAATCTAAACTTGTGGTAAATGAAATAAAAAGTTGCACTTAAAACCTTAACTTCAGGTAAATGAGATAAAAAGTTACACACAAAACCTTAACTTGTGTTTAATGAGGTAAGAAGTTTTATTTAAAACCTAAGCTCAGTGTTATGCAAAAGTCAATGCCAGAATGAGTAGGGTATCCTGTCAATTCTTCAAGTTAGGCAAGCCACAGAATGGCAAGAAAGACATACCTCTCTGTAAATGCGAACAACGCTGGCACTCTCAGGGTTCAGTATATTTCCCTCTTCATCACGTACAACCAAATCTAAATTCAACAATCTGAAGCACAATTTATACAGAATTACAATCTAGTATACAGAAGCAGAGGTTCGTTATTTTAATTCCAAATGTTATATTTAATGCCTCTGTTATAGGGACTGAACTTGCAGTGGTTAGTGAAAGTAGTTTGTAACCTAGATACAAAAATCACATAACCACTCCAAAATATGTCTTACACCAGTATTTTTGTGACCAAAACAATGTAAAGAAAGCATTTGACAAAAAAATATAACAAATCGAATTTTCTATGATATACCTGAGACAATTTAATGATATTAACAATGGCAATTAAAGTACTGTATAATGTAAGGCATTAACCACAAAATCTAATGAAGTTAAAATATCTTCACTTCATTTTCAAGTTTTATTTACTCAGAGTGGTTAAAAAGGACACAATAGTATACTTTCAGGATTGTTAACTTCCTTATAGATAATTTTATCATTTTGTTGGTTTTTTTTTAAATTGATGTTTAAAGCAAGAATGCTTAATTTCACTTACGCATTGCCCAGGTCAATTTTAGCAGAAACTTTCTGTTTAAGGTCTTTCAACTGTTCAGCAGTAATTTTTCTTGAAGTTATTTCCTTTCTCCAGATAAGCAGATCATGAATCATATCTTGCACTGTGTCAAAATTGGGATCATCCTCCTGCAGAAAATATATGAGCCGCGTCATGACAAAACCAACATTGTGCATTTGCGATCAGCATGGATCCAGACCAGCCTGCGCATCCGCGCAGTCTGATCAGAATCCATGCTGTTCGCTTACAAACCCTATAAAAAGTAGAGAAACTGATAGCAAACAGCATGGATCCTGATCAGACTGTGCGGATGCGCAGGCTGGTCTGGATCCATGCTGGTCGCAAACGCACAATATATAGTATGTCGGTTTTGGCGTGACGCGGCTCAGTCATGTTTATCATAATAATTGTAAGTCAGAAAAATGCTAAAATATGCTAAAATTTGGATAATTATTCTGACAAAAATAAATAGGAAATCATTATCATCATAATTATAGAACTAACAAAAAGTAAAAACATTATCCTGATATCATAAAAAGCAACAACTGTCTCTGAAATGATCATTTATCCTGCAAAAAATAGATGTTTTTCAGTAACTAATAAACAAAAGTCTGATAATTGTCATTATCTTTTTTTAAAAGGTAAGCCAGACTTAAAATTATTGGTGACGCAAAGTTCTGGTTAGATTTTTTTGCCAGAAATGAGAACTAAATAGAACCATATTTCATCAGCAAGCTTATGAACTCATTCTAGATCAAAAAGCATAATTTTAACCATTACCACCCTTAATATCTTTAAGACATTTGTCAACCTTTTTATCTGAACTAAACCTTTTACCGTTTTTATAGAAAATTTCAAACTCTGTACTGATAGAATAACAAACAGTGCAGAACATGATCGGATGGCATAGACTGATTCATGTGTAAAATTCATCACCGTCAGTTGGTAAAAGTTTAAGCCACAACCCATAGTGGGAAAGGCGAGGAATTAGCTGTCAGTAAAGTTAATTAAGAGGAAGATCCTCACATCAAAGGGAAAGTTTAGTTACTATAAGTCAGTCATACCACATATTGATTCTTCCAGTACAAACACCATTCTCTAACAACAGATGTTATCTCTTGTGCTATTGAAGGCTCCTTTGGTATTATTGTCTCTATTGATCTGAAATTTATGGAACATAATTGATAATAAAAGCACTATGTCATCCCTCACCTATGACTCATTTTCATTCAACCATCTGAATAGTACAGCTTTATGAATAGAATATTTCACATACTATAATTATAGTAATAAGGAAGAATTAAAGATCCTGTTACTCATTTTTTTATGGTTTTATATCAAAAATATAATACTGAAATGAAGATTTATCAATAATGTAAGTTCCAAAAAGCATTATTTGTAAAGATATTACCGAATTTACATTTTCATGTTAATAAAGGGAGGTCATTAGAAATTTATTTTCTATAAAATCTAAGTCAAATTTTTCAATAAGAAATGAATGCATATATTTTAGTGATTACATATAATGTGGACAAATATTTGCAGTACATATTTTACATATTCTTCGATGAAAATTGTTTTATAAGTATATATATATATATATATATATATACATATATAAAATTTCACTTAAGTGTGGTAACAATCTTAACTACAACATACAGGATCTTTAACACTAAAATTTACATTTTAGAGAAGACAATTTCTAAATATTTTAACTCCTTACAAGCGAACCAGGTAAGTTATTAACTCACTGACATATGACAAATATAAATTCAAATACAAGAAGTATACTCTTTCTCAGGATTAAAAAAAACAAACTACAAACCCTGACTGTACAATTGTAGCTTCCCTTAGGTGTATATAGTTTTTTGGGAAAATTCCAACAACAGACTTGTTCTTTGTTGCATAACCAAAATACCAATCTGTAAAAAGAAAAAGGAAAATTAAAAAAAAAATAGCAATATTTATAACAATAAACTCAACAACCCCCTCGTTAAAGAGTTATCATTCAGAAACGGTTGGGTTTTATTTGGTGTTATTTTTATATTTCTTTTGCAAAAAAAAGAAAGAAGGAAAAAATTGGTGAAAAATTAGGTCTGAAACTAAATTGGAACACAACCTATATCCAAAATTGAGACACAAATAATGACCTTATAGCACAATCCTTCATTTTATTCCATTATCATGTCATCTATTTACAAATCTTACCTTAATGTGAAAACATGAAATAGTCATTTAATAATAATGAAAACATAAAAAAAAACAACATATTTGAAAATATTACCATCTGATTCCTCTCTGATGACCACTGTATCCCCAACAACCAATGGCAATATTGTTTGCCCTTTCGCCTTGAAGTGGTATATAACTGAAATACAGTAAATTCTCTTTATTAAGACCACTGATGGGACTGACTCAAATTTGGTCATTAAAGTGAATAAGCTGCTTTAACAACTTATGAAGTCCGACTAAACTAAATGTACATGTACCCATGTCCAACAATAAAGAAGAAAAACACAAGAATATTTTGTTCTTTTGAAAAATGGCCATTAATAGTGGCATTGTGGTATTTTACGGTCTGTATCAATAAATAAATAAATAAAATTATTTATCAATCCTTATTCTTTTTTTTTTTTTAAATATTTTTAATTATCTCATAAAAACATAAAAGAAAATCATAACAATTAATCATCTTCAAGAGCCTGGTCATATTAACTATTTAACCTGCTGAATATAATTATTATGTAATTATGTTAATGTTTTTATATCTTAAAATAGTTATACATTGTTTGATATCAGCTTAATGTGTAAAATGACTGTTGTTTCTTTTAATTATCTGCAGGTAAATTGACAACTGATATATTTGCAAAATAAACTTTTGGGAATTTTTTTCAATGTAAAATACTGTTCTTGTGTACTGCTGTTATTTGTTTCTTGAGAAATTAACTTTAAAATATAATGTAAAATACACATAATTCTTATGCATGATCTACATCAGAGTTTTCATCTACATCTGAGGCAACAGATGTGCCAACAAAAACAACTGATTTGGCCAAGGGTCAAGGTGGATACCTTAATCTACATGCTGAAAATACAACTGATTTTAACAGCATTTCAACCAATGATATGGCCAATCTGTTAATAATGAAAACCCTGATCTATACCTAGATCATAATGATCTTTACATTGTCTCTATCTATCTCTCAATAATGTTCAACCTCTCGCAAAGATGTAGACATATGATCTGCACCTATGTCGTATGAACTATGATATACATCTATATCATATGATCAACACTAGAAATTATGATCTTTTATACCTAACATGTATGTGTTTTCTTATTTTATCGTTGGCTAAACTGGGTGGGATAAAGTTTACATAATATATCTTTAGAGGGCTAGATTTTGTCGTATTCACTGTAGGCTCTCCATGACATACAAAATCAGTAATGATATAGTCGCCATCCCCATTGAAGGTTATCTAAGCCCATTAAGTAGTCTTCTGACATGCCCACTAAGACTCCCATGTTTACAATTTTTTGTAAATGTTTACATGATTGCTAAAAACCGAAATGATACGACGGTACTTCTATGTACTATACTTGGTATTCGAGTTGCCAAATGATTACTTACTTTTTATTTTTTATACATGTACGAATAAATAATATTCAGGACTCATCATGAAAGATCAAAGGAAAATAAATAGAGGATATTCAAGTTTTTTCTATAAATACAGGATTTATTTTCATCGAGTGGTATGAAAATAAATATTTCATGAGGGGCGGTAGCTACGAGTGAAATAAGATAATTTTCATACCAAAAGATGAAAATAAATCCTGTATTTATAGAAAAAAAAACTTGAATTTTCTGTTTATTATATACATTTTCCTTTTTGATATTACAATTTGAAAACTTTTCCCTTAAATTTTGTGTATTGGCTGAATTAAGAAAAAAGTAGTCCAGCAAAACACCTGTGAAAATACAGAAAATATGTTTCAATGCAGTGAAAAATAAATCTTTTACAGTGAAAATACGGAAAATGAAAATAATATTTTATTTCATCAAAATTTCTCAATATTTTATTTACAAGTATATAATAAACCCCCAAAAAAGTATCTAGTCCTGAACTGTGTTGCTGCATGGTAAGTTATAAACACCCTTATTCTGGGCTTACATAGAAGCCTGACAACACATGCTTGTTTCTGTGGATTATTTTACTTAACAAGGGGGATGGAAAAAGTAAACATTGTGTTATTCTCTATAAGAAAGAAGCACCGTACTGTCAGTGTTTGATGAAAGTAAAAACTGTATGCTACAGTATGGAGTATTCTAGCTTTCAAAAAAAAAATGTAAGCTATCTAATTTTTATTGTGAATAAATCAATAAGAATTGATTAAATTCATTATTTCAGGTAATGACTAGGATATTTTGATAGGACAACTTAGTCATTTCCTTTAAAGTTAAACAATAAACAAGAGGGCCATGATGGCCCTGAGGTCGCTCACCTGTATATAGCCCCCCCCCCCCCGGGCCAATTTTTACCCAAGGGCTTTAATTTGACTTGGTAGACACCCATAAGAAGATGTTTCATGCTATAGGGAAAATCAATGACCCCCTGGGGCGGGGCCAATTTTGACCCCAGGGCTTTTATTTGAACAAACTTGGTAGACACTCACTAGAAGATGTTTCATGCCAAATATCTAAGCTCTAGCTTTTACAGTTCTAGCCACGTTAGCTCTCAGCAAAACCATTTTTTTCATCGTTAAAAGAGTAAAATATGCGATTCAGACATGTGTAACTAGTGATTGTGTATACAATCATCGAGATTAGCAGCTCTGCAACGCCACGAATTAATATATTATCATTCATACATTCCACAACATTGTTTACAAAATTTAACCCAAATATAGCTTCGTCAATATTACGAGTCTTTCCGGAGAATCTCCGTATATTTACGCTTACACGCAGAAAATGATGACGTCAGACTGAAGAGCACACTTCCGCAAAAAAATCAAAACAACATGTCATCTACGTCGTCGGTTAGTATTTTTCTTCCTTGTTATCCTCATTGTTTAAAAGTTTTAAAGAATTTGTGAT